AGGGATGGAGGAAGTGATGGAGGAAGTGATGGAGGAAGTGATGGAGGAAGGGATGGAGGAAGTGATGGAGGAAGTGATGGAGGAAGGGATGGAGGAAGGGATGGAGGAAGTGATGGAGGAAGTGATGGAGGAAGTGATGGAGGAAGTGATGGAGGAAGTGATGGAGGAAGTGATGGAGGAAGGGATGGAGGAAGTGATGGAGGAAGGGATGGAGGAAGGGATGGAGGAAGTGATGGAGGAAGTGATGGAGGAAGTGATAGAGGAAGGGATGGAGGAAGTTACATAGTATTTGAGGTTGAATAAAGACACAGGTCCATCAAGTTCCACCCTTGCGTGTGTTCATGTGATTCTGCATGTGTGTGTGTGTACACGAGTCTCTGTGTGATCTAGTTTTTAAGAGTACCTGTACCCCTGTATGTCACGGTCTCTGAGGAAGGTATCTAAATGCTTTTTGGAGCGATAGAAGAAGTTTATCGAGGAAGCAATAGAGGAAGTTATTGAGAAAGCCACAGGGGAAGTTATAAAGAAATTTAAAGATGAAGTTATGTAGGAAATGATTATTTATATTATTATACAGTATTTATATAGCGCCGACCATTAGCGTAACAATCGCCATAGCGACCCAGGCGGCCGCTATGGGGCCCGGGCACAGGGGGGGCCCGGCCAGGGCATCCCTCTGATGCCGTGTGGGCCGCCTGGGTCGCTATGGCATGTAAGGGCGCTGGCTGTCACTGACACAGCTCAGCAGCGGCGTTTCCCCCTCACAGCCGCTCGCTGCAGAGCTGTGTCAGTGACAGCCAGCAGCTACGGCGGAAGAGGGCGGCGTTCGCAGCGAAGGAGGTGCAACCCCGCCTCCTCTTACATCACTGGCCAGCGACCTAAGAGCAGGTGGGGCCCGGGGGCGGACAGCGCTGACAGGTAAGAGGTGTGCAGCCCATCTGAGACCCTGCAGAGCCCACTATAGAGAGTCTATGGTGGGCTCTGCAGGGTCACCCTCAGGTGGGATCTCGAGTGGGCTCTGCAAGTGGCATAACTAGCAATCACAGGGGACCATACACAATTTTGCTATGGGGCCCTGTGATTTCTAGTTACGCCCCTGGCGCCAACAGTTTGCACAGCGCTTTGCACAATGGGAGGGGGCAATACATTTACAATACAATTTCAGTACAATAGGGTGAGGAGGGTGTGCTCATGCAGGACAGAGGAAGTTCTATAGAATATTATAGAGAAGGTTGTAGCGGAAGGTTTTCTCCTGTGTTTTTTGTTTTTTTTCTCTTCCCCTCTCACTGGTTTCCTGGGTTATCCTCAAAGCACATAATGACATGTCCGGTGAATTCAGAGTTGTGCTGCTGCAATACGCTGAGACCCGCTGCCCGCTGAGACCCGCTGAGACGCGCACGGCCATCTCCTCAGCTTCCATCATCGGGAGGCGGTCTCTTTCAGGTTCTTGCAGCCAGACCCCCCCCCCCCCCC